AAAAAATTATGTTACAGTTAGGCTGTGTGATAACATCAAACCACTGTAAATAATACTTGTAGAAAAAAATCTTACATGAGAAACTGCAATGGATCTGATGCCACATGACACTTTGATCCATTCTTCTATTCCTCTTTGGGATTATGAAAAAGACCTAGGAATAGAATAAAATTAAATTCATATTTTTAGGTGAACACAAAGTAAAACACTTCAATTTCTGGCCTCATTAATGAGGGCCATGTGAATATTTTCTCAGATAATATGAAAATAAAAATGTTGTGTGGCATACTTGAAGAATCATCTCAAAGCAAAAAGGATCCATTTATCCTTCATTTACTTACAACATGTGAATTCAAATTTTTTTTATCTACCAACCTCATATGATTATTAAAATTTAAACTTTTTAAAATTAAATTTAGGATTGAGTTCATCAGTCTTTCATTGCAATGGGCCTATGATTACGACCACATTAGATTACCTCCAGACAGTGCTGGACTTTCTATCTCTGGAAGTCACAATTGTAGATCATTAAATGTCTCTTTTTTCTGTTAATATTCGGCCAAAACTTAAAGATCCAATAGAAAAAGAACATAAAACTATATATACAGAGTAGTTTCCTGAATTCTGCAATTTTTCTTGCAAAAAAACCTGCATGTTATTTATATTTTAATGAGACAGATCAGTGAGAGGTTATAATGCTGAGATGATATCATTAAACTGTCACTATTTCTTGAATTGAAGATTTTTTTTTCTTAATTTTCACAAGGTTTTTATTCTTTAACAAGTGGTCAGCCATGAAAACATACATGGAAGTAATATATAGACTGAGTAGGTTGTGTTTAAGACTATGTATGTGTATATGTATACATATATGACTACGACAACAATTGATGAAAAACAGGCCATGAGTTTGAAAGATAGCAGGAGGAATATATAGGAGTGCTTAGAGTAAAGGAATGAAAGTGGAAATCAAGTAATTATATTATAATCTCAAGAATAGAAAAATTAATGTAAAAACAATGGGAAAATATTTCCCTTTAATCTCTGTGGTTTCCTCCAGCGAGAGTAGAACAAAGAGAATAATGAGCTCTCAGTAGACCCACAACCCTCAGTAGGTGAGATAATTTCTGGAAATGTTGATAGTTCTACCAGAACAGACTTTATCAAGCTGTGCAGTCCCCAGCCACTCAGAAGTAACTGATGAAGTCCTATGTGTAGCTTTTACTAAGGAAACTCAACCTGTAGGGGAGTGAGGAACTCTATCACAGTCAACTTCCTATGGGCTAACATGTATAATACAAGCAATGTATCAAGAGAAGAGAGCGTGCCTTCTTTGTGTTTAGTTATGAGCCAAAAACTTTAAATATGCACTGAGAATTATGAAAAACATTTAGCATAATAAATAACAGAGAGACCATTACAGCAAAATATACATATATATACACCTACACATACATACACAGACAGAGAAGATCTATATCTATGTCTAATATATATTAATATATATGTATATAACATATACATATATAACATATACATAATATATATTAATATATGATAATATTATATATATTATATATATGTATATCTTCAAAGACATACTCCCCAAGAAGTATTAAATTTTCAATTAGTGCTTCAAATCTGCAAGAATGGAATCGGGGTAGTCTAAGCATCTCTACAGGACAGAAAGACCAGCAGACTTAGGAATAATCATCAACCAAGATTAATACCTAACACTAATAATGATGGTGGTGACAGTGATGTTAAATGTTATAGTTACCTTTTTTCTGATTCATATTCTTCTCTAAATGTTTCACATTTGGGCTGAAGAGATAGCTCAGTAAAGTACTTAGTTGCAAGTATGAAGATCTGAGATCAACAATAGGAACACAGGTAGATAGTGGAGTACTTATAAGTTTATAAGCTCTGGGTTGGCAGGGGCAGTTAGACGGCTCACTACTCACCCAGAGTAACATAATCATCATACACCAGACAAATAAGAGACTCTTTTTCAAAAGCCAACATGATCAATACCTGTGAAACAGTATCTGAACTTGACCTCTGACCTCCAGATACTTGTAAACTCAGCCATGCATACCTACCCACATATATTCACAAAAAGATACCTTTTTATATCTATATTATCATATTGAATATTCACAATAATCATTTGAATGTCTTCCTACTGTTTTTCTTGCTAAATGGAGGCAAAACACTATTATTCACAGAAGTTAGGCACCTTGAATCTCTGACTGTAGCTGGAAGGCGATTAAGAGCCAGAGCTTTCTTATAATTTTATACAGAAAAGATGTGCCGCTCTTCACTAAAATGTTAAAGAAGAAACTGTAATGGCTGATGTTGCAGCGTTGCTTATCAGCTTCAAGAGTTGTTCATTTACCAAGTGTTTATAAAGCGTCAGTTACGATATTCACAGAAAGATACAAGGAAGAGACAATGAGTAGTCCTCTACTTTGAGAGCTTACAGTTTTAGAGAAAAACATACTTATAATCATTATAATCAAACTGATAGAACAATGATATCATGAATATTTTGAAAACTTAATTCTACTCCAGAAGAAAAGTGGTCAGGAAATACTTCACAGAGAAGGTAGTTTTAAAGTAGAGCTCTACATGTTTGCTGTGTAGGAAATGGAAATAAATAATCCCAGGCAGAGCAATCAGCAACTTCCTAGGGAACTGATGACCACTTGTGAGTACTCATCCATGAACAAGGAATAGAGGAGGCACCAGAAGAAGAAAGAAGATTCTGTGCTGCTGTTAAAGCCACTATTGATATAAAGCTTCAACCAGCACATACAAAAGTGAGAAAAAGGAAAATCCATGCTTTAGTTACATCACAGATGTTCCATATCTCTCCTAGGAAAGAACGATTTTTTTCTAGTTCCATCCATTTGTCTACAAATTTCATGATGTAGTTTTTAACAGTTGAGTAATATTCCATTTTGTAGATGTACCACATTTTCACTATCCAGTTTTTCTGAGGGACATATAGGTTGTTTTGATTTTGTGGCTATTATTAATAGAACAGCAATGAATATAGTTGAGCAAGTGTCCTTGAGGTATGATATAACATCAATTGGGTATGTACCCAAGAGTGTTATAGCTGGATCCTGAAGTAGATTGATTCCCATCTTTCCAAGGAACTGCCATACTGGCTTCCATAGTTGCTGGACAAGTTTTCAGATCTACCAGCAATGGATGAGTGTTCCCCTTGCGCCACATCTTTGCCAGCATGAGCTTGTGTTATTGATCACAGCCCTTCTGACAAGTGTAAGATGAAATCCAAAACTAGTTTTGATTTGCATTTCCCTGATGACTAGGGATGTTGAACATTTTTAAGTGTTTCTCAGTCGTTCAAATTTCCTCTGTTGAGAATCCCGTTTAGATCTGTACCCTATTTTTTAATTGAATTATTTGGGTTTTGGATATTGTAGTTTCTTGAGTTCTTTATTTATATTGATTATTAGTCCTCTATCAGATGTGCAGTTGGTAAAAATCTTTTCCCATTCTGTAGGCTGCCACTTTGTCTTTGCTTTACAAAGCTTTTCAGTTTCATGAGGTCCCATTTATTAATCACTGACCTCAGTGTCTGCACTAACAGTGTTCTGTTCACAAAGTTGTCTCTTGTGCAAACGTATTCAAGGATATTACCCACTTTCTCTTCTATCAGTCTCAGTGTATCTGGTTTTATATTGATCCACTTGGTGTTGAGTTTTGTGCAGGGTAATGAGTATGAATTTATTTGCATAGTTCTACATGTAGACATAAATCCAAACACCTTATTTTTGATTGAGAAATCAAAATAGAACATTGGAGGGAAAAGGCAACATCTTCAACAAATGGTGCTGCTCAAACTGGAATGTCTATGTCATTTTAGACATTATAAGAGACATATTTCTTATATGCCAAAATGTCAAGAGAACTGAAATTATTCATAAGAATTGTCTACTGGTTATAGTTAGTATATGATACAAGACTCTAAGAAGATCAGAATAATAGAAAAATTCTTGGATGTAATTTTAAATGATACATTATTCCAAATAAGAAAAGACAACCAGATTGACAACCTTATTCCACAATGTCCCCTGATCAATTCCTTCGGCTGGTTTCCTTTTTAAGTATAAATAACTTCCTTTTTAAGTTATTATCCTGGAGTGTTTTAAAGACAAGAGGAAGCAGCAGAAGAAACTTTACCCAAAATGCATTTGTGAAAATATTCTCCTTATACTGGATGCAGCTGGGTAAAGAAATATATCCTAATATTTTTACATTAGTTATTGATAACTTATAGTGTCAACAATTAATTAAATGTTTCAAAATAGGCAGTAGAGAGGATGAAGAATTTTTCTAACATGAGAAATGTTGGGATCAAGGTAGTAGATATGCCAATTACCCTGATCAGACAGATTACTACACATTTAATACATGTATTGAGATATTATACTATACCTGATAATCATATGTTACCAAGTGTCATTTAAAATGCAATTTTTCTTGTTTTGGGAAAAATATTTTTTTTATTTTAACAACAAAATTTCTACTTTCCCCTTCTTCCCACTAGACTCTCCCATATACCTTCCCTACTCTCCTTCAAATTCATGCTTTCTTTTTATCACTAAATTGTTATTATGCATATATATATATATATATATATATATATATATACATATACATATACATATATTCTTGAATATAACCTGTTCTGTCCATACACTTTTACTTGTATGTATGTTTTCAAGGCTGACCTAAAACTACAAATTTTTAACGGTTTTAACCTTTTTACTTGGCTTGAATATTCAAATTACTCAAGCCATGGTAGAAACAGGTATCAGGAAGATAATCAAATTTTGTAAGATTACAGAGAGAAGGCTCAGTGCTATGTTTGCATGCAATGCTAGGACACCATGCAGTTTTGACCTACTAGGGTAGCAATCTGATGTCCTAATTTTTTGGTCACCATTTTTTAGTATCTGAGAAAACAGATCCACTTCAACAATAGAGGTTTTTTTAAATCATTTTCATCCATTAGCTCTCCTTCACTTCATACCTGTATTCTTTTTTCCCCACAACTTCCTCACAGCATTTTTCACCTCTGCATTTCTGAGTGTGTAGATGATGGGGTTCAGCATGGGGGTGATGACCGTGTAGAACACAGCCACAAGCTTGTCTTCAGTGAAAGTAGAGGAAGGTCGCATGTAGAGAAAGATGGCGGGTCCAAAGAACAAAACAACCACTGTGATGTGAGAGGCACAGGTGGAGAGAGCCTTGTGTCTCCCTTCTGCAGAATGGTTCCTCAAGTTGACCAAGATGATGACATAGGAGGACACCAAGACAAGGAAGGAACAGAGAGCAATTAAGCCACTATTGGCCATTACAATGACACTCTGGACAAATGTGTCAGTACATGCCAGCTTGAATAACGGCTGGAGGTCACAGAAGTAGTGATCAATCACATTGGGACCACAGAAGGGCAGCTGAATAGTGATAAAAACCTGAATTATAGAATGTAAAAAGCCCCCCAGCCAAGAAACAGCCACCAGTATGTGACACACTTGACGACTCATGATGTTCATGTAATGAAGAGGTTTGCATATGGCCACGTAGCGGTCATAGGCCATCACCACAAGCAAAAATATCTCAGCTACACCCAAGAAGTGGAAGAAGAATATCTGAGCCAGACAGCCCTTCAGGGAGATAGTTTTAACCTTAGCAAGTAAATCAGTGATGAACTTAGGGACAACAGTGGAGGAGTAGCAGATCTCCACCATGGACAGCGAGCTGAGGAAGATGTACATGGGAGAATGCAGACTCTTACTGACAGTGACCATTGCAACTATGAGGCCATTGCCCAACACTGTGGCCAGGTACACAGGAAGAAACAGCACAAAGCACACCTTCTGCACATTTGGATCTTGGAAAAGGCCAGTGATGATCAGTTCAGTCACATTATTTTCCCTGGCCATGGGTTAAGTTGAGGAGTAGTGGACATCAGGCAGTAAATGTCCTGAAATAAAACATTGTAGCACCAGTTTACACCATTTACAGAGTGTCGGAGAAAACAACCCACTTACTAATCATTCCTTTAGCCAACATGTAATAATTCAGAATTCAACATGGTACTCTAACATATTATGATATTTTAGTTTACTTAGTTTTATCACTGGAAAATAGAAATCCATATAAATGATTACTTGCCCATAACCATACAGACAGAGGTCAATTCTGGGTCTGTAACCAGTCTAGCTTTCATCATATTGACATTTATGACAACATATTTGAATTTGGACAGCCATTCAAGATAAGAAAATATATTTGTACTTTCTTTGCTGCATTTTGATACCTGTTCTTGAAGAATTCCCTTGGCATACTTCTTCCCCTCGTTTCTTTATTTCTTTCTTCTTCTGTGTCTCAAGGAGTATCCATTTTCTATTGTATCAATATATTAATACAGATGAAAATATGTCTTACCAGTAATTTATAATTAGCATAATCACCATAAAATATAAAAAGAAATGCTTATTTAAAAAGTCCATCAAGGCTCTTTACTCGGAAAGGTGATTAGCAGAAGAGAGACACCAAATGCTAATGTAAAAGTTATGGTTGGTCTCATAGTCCATTGTAAACATGAAAACCAGTACAACCACTCTAGAGAACAAACTGCTATCAAATGTTCTTCCATCTGTATGCTACAAAGAGAGTCTAACGCTACACACAAGTGTTGGGAGCGTGCATGAGAACATTTAGAACTGCTTTTATGCAATTTTCCCAAACTTCACATTCAGGAATGCCATCTTGGTATCTTAAAGTCAATCAAGGTCACAGTATTTAAATATTGTAAATCATGAAACATAACAAATCAGATCTTTTTTATATTAAGAAGCACCATTTGCAAGTACACGACTTGATAGAGATGATCAAGAGAGATTTTCTTCCCTGATACAGTAATAAAACACTCCCAGCCACACCCTTCCAGAGGAGACAGGATGAACTTAGAATAAATTAGGCATAGACAGCCCCTTACCTTCTCCTGCTGTTAAATGAATATTTCAGATAATATACTTTTTAAGCTTCTGTCTCTGTGGAGTATAAACAAGACATTGTGTTTGGTCAGATACATCCAATGCTGCCATGTCTGTGTGTATATGTTTGCCTAACTCTTGAATAAACTACACAAAAGGTACTTGGGACAAATATAAGCTACCATCTTCCTTATCATCTTTATCACTAACAAGGCAATGTTTTCTGCTCACTCAAGTGCCTCAATTCTGAATTACTTTAGCATTACATGAGGCACAGATATTAAGTTTCCTACAAACATAGAATGTGTGAACTGATACTGTTTTACAACATAAAAATGTAATAACCTAAATATATATCAAAACTATGGTAGTATTATTTATCTACCCAAATAGAAGATACACTCTTTTGCTTTCTTGAACAAGCACCTGTTATGTGACCGAAAAATGCCAAATATAGACCAAATGAATCAGTCATTCATTAACAGCATCCATGGAGAAAGTAAAAGAGAAGAGTATGACTTAAGTAGGACCTTTGTTAGAAAATATAGGTATATTTATCTAAATAAACACATAACTTTTCTTTGAACTTAAACACAACTTAATCTTGATATTATAGAAATTAAGATAAATTTACTAAAACAAATAATGATACATCACTTGTAGATAGAATTGACTAAGTCCACAGTGTTTTCTGGCTTGATCCCAAATTCTTTTAGAAATTGCCCTTGTCTCTGAAGATATTTGTGTGTGTGTGTGTGTGTGTGTGTGTGTGTGTGTGTGTCCCTTTCGCTGACTCCTCTCTCTTGTTCTGCCCCCACTCACACATTCTAACTCTCAGCCCCTTAGATAGCAAAGAAATAGCTCCTGCTTTGCATTATACTAGAACATATGATAAAATGAAGACCATGGCTAGTGAAAACAATGAGACATTTGATGTACTGATGTGACTGACCTCGAGTAAAGTAATAGAACCTCTACCAATCACAGGCTCAATCTGGTAATCCCCAAAGAGTACTTTAAAGAATGTATAATTGTAAAAGAATTTTGGCATCATTAAATTTTATGCTATAAATTTTATACCATAAGAAAACTTAAGATCCTAGTTATTTACTCTTCCCTAGCCACCTTATCTCAAAAATAAATTCTCATGGCTCTAAGAAAATATTTGACTAGCCCAAAACCTTATATCATCTGATAAATTCTATATCTTGCATCTAGTCACACCATATACCTTTATAACAGAGCAGCTGCTATATACTCTTGGAACAAAAACTTGGACAGCATAAATTTCAAACACACGTGATGTGCCTCCAAGTTAGCATGATATTAGGCACCTTGTTGGAACACATCACTACTCAAGGTTTGTTCAGACTTAGGAAAACCGAGCTCAGAGAATAATTGTTGCCTGAAAATGCTGTTCTTAGAGTAAACAAGATCTATGAGATAATATTACCAACTAGCTGAATTCTCACAAAAGACCCTCAGATCACACCCAACTAAGACACTCTGAGTAGGGGGTGAGGGTAGTGCTGAAGAGAATTTAAAGAATGATTATTCTAACTCCTTCTATTCATACATAAGGTGAAATGAGCTAAAAGAGGACAATTAACTTCCCAAAACCATACTCTAATAGTTTTCCATGTACTATCTCAGGAATCATTCTCAAAAAAAAAAAAAAACTAGCCTATCATTGATGGTAGGAAGTGATTGCTATTACTACAGTTAAGGAGTTAGCTTTGTCTCCAAGAACATATTAAAAAGTATCCTGGCAGCTTTTAAAAACACAAGGCAGTAAAGTCTAATATAAATGGCAAAGGGGGAAAGAAAATTCAGGACATCTGTACTTGGATTTATAATTTTTAAGAAATAAAATCTTTGAGAATAGTAAACTCACCTTTCTGAGATTCTGTTTGATAAAGAACTACCCACCACACAAATTCCAGACACTGGAGCTGAATGCTCACATACATGAAGTGTTCATATTAAATCAACCCTCATGTTATAATCAAGGGACCAACTTCCCCATGGAATTTCTTTTCCCTACAGTAAAGAATGCCAAATAAAGTAGGGCTTGAAGAAAATATCAAAATCTATTCCAATTATTTTGCTGCCACTTTCCTATTGTTTTGCACATAGTAGAAAGAAAGAACATGAAGTGTTGAAAACAGAGAGTGTTTGACTAAACTTGCCAACTAAAAATTAATCCCAAGTGAATAAGGAAAGAAAAGACGACTATCATGCAGGTGTTGGACTGATCAGCACTGGATTCACTGTCCACCTTCAGCTATGCCATCCCACTCCCCCTTCCTGTTTCTCCTTTCCTATGTTTCTCATTTTAATAAGAGTTCACCTTGCCTATCATTGTTGTACTCTTCTAAAGTCACCTCATGTATTTGTGTGCACTGTGTGTATATAAAAACACATAGACTCTTTGTGGCTCTGTCCCTCTGTCAACAACAGTGGTCCAATCGTGGACTATAGCAAGAATTTCTTCTGAAAGAGATGCTGTTTGTTGATCCATTCATTCATCCATCATTTAACAAATATAATATTGAATTCTGTGATGTTCTGAGCACTGTTTAGGTACTGTATATTACACTGAGAATAAAATAAAGCTACTTAAACAAATTAAGGATGCAGCATGTCCTTAATTTCCCTTTTAGGGTATAACAGAGGTCTAGAGAAAATGAAAAAATTATTCCAGACATCAATTCAGTCCTTTGATAGGTAGAAAGCAAAAAACAAATAATAAAGATGACAAGAAATACTAGTGGACATAACTAAATGATAGGACCTGATTGCTGAAGATGTCACACATTTTGGCTCCCAGACATAAAAAAATCAATCTGAAGCCAACTCGGAAACTTACTTCCTGCTGCTCAGCTTTCATGGTGCCAAAAGGTATTATGAAGACTGCTGAGGATAAAAAGCATCAGTGATCTTTCCCAGTGCTGGACATACCTGCTATAGTACTGACACACCCAGACCTGCATGCCCACTGCAGCAGTGCGACATAATGACTATAGAATAACCACCTGGCCTCTGAATGGATTTGAGGCCTGTTCACAGGAGTACATTCATGACTAGTCAAAAGCCCATATCTGGGAAGGTCATAGACCCTATAGAAGAAATTATTGTAATTGTTGTTGTTGTTGTTGTTGTTGCTAAATGGCCATGTTGTCAAACTACTTCCTAAATGTTTATGTTTATGGTGTTTGTGTTTATATTTACGTTTAAACTGACATATCTGGGCTGCTTTCAACCCTGGTCATAAAATGTTTCTGCAGTGGGCAGTAGTCAATACCTCTAGTTCCTGTTCATCCAAGGAGTGTTGGTCATGGGCTCCCTCTTGTGGCATGGACCTCAAATTAGACCAGTCATTGATTGGCCTTTCCTACAAGTTCTATTTCTTTATTGTCCCCTACACATCCTGCAGGTAGGACAGATTGTAAGTCAAAGCCTTTATGACTGGGTTGGAAGTTGCTAGTGTTACCTTTGTAGATTCTAAGGAATTTCTACTGAAGAACACTTCCACACTGCCCCTCAAATACCGTTCCAGTCTTCTTTTCTCATAGTCTACCTGATCTCTCCTGCTCTCATTGCCACCAGCCACCAGCCACCAGCCACCAGCCACCAGCCACCAGCCACCAGCCCACCGGCAAAAATCTATTCTATTTCCCCCTCCCAAGGAGATCCATGCATACCCCCATAGAGTCCTCCTTGTTACTTCTCCTCTCTGGGTCTGTGGATCATAGTATGACACCCACTTATAATTGAGTATATAACATGTTTGTTTTTCTGGGTCTGGGTTTTAATACTTTAACAAAACCAACAACTGAGAGCTCTCAAATACTAGTAGATTGCTCAAATTTCTGTTAATTAAAGATACATACACACATATACACACACACGTGTGTGTGTATATATATGGGTTAGGAATTTATTTAAAATGGATTTTGTATACAATATG